CCAATCAAGTAATGAAGGTCATAATGAACAGGTATATGCTTCCAGATCATTTCATACTAACACAGGGGTTCCCTGGGGCTCTATCCTTGGACCTATGCTGTTTTGTTTCTGATCTTCATCAATGATCTCCCTGATGTCAACAGTTCCCAACTATGTCTTTATACAGATAATACTACCATTTGCCTTAGTAGCAAGTCTGACAGATCCGACAAAGGAAACCTGGCATCTACTCTTGAAAAGAACTTCCAATCAGTGGTTAACTGGGGCAAGAAATGGCTTGTAAATTTCAATACCTCCAAAACAAAACTGCTTTCATTTAATCCCCACAGAGAAACTTTTCTGCTTACCATCAGAATGGCTGATGCAGAACTCCAGGAAAGTGACACTATGGTTTCTTGATACCCCCACCACCAAAACTCAGTAATCCCTTGTGTCTTAGTGGCTTTACTACCTTCCATGATATTATATTAGTATAATATAGTATTTATTACCAGAATTGCTGGTTCTTTTTCTGGGTGGAAAACTTCCTCCTGATTAGTTTGGATGCATTTCTCTGTAAACTGGCAAACTGGCAAATAAAATGTTTCTGTAAACTTCTGAATTAATTCTGCTGCTACCACCATGAGTTACATCATCAATAAATATGAATGAGCCTGTTCCAGAAGCAACCATGCAAAGCCCAAGCCTCGACATTGTCTCTACCATGCTTCTTCACAAATGAGCTTATATGCTTTGGATAATGAGCAAATTCTTTCTTTCGTCACACCTTGGCTTTTCCATCACTTTGGTAGAAATTAACCTTGCTCTCATCAGTCCATTAAACTTTCTTCCAGAACTTGTTGTAAACTCATCTCTGTACTTCCTTGCAAATTCCAATCTGGCCTTGCAATTCTTACTGCTGATGAGTGGTTTACATTTTGTGGTATGGCCTCTGTATTTCTGCTCTCAAAGTCTTCTTCCAATGGTGGATTGTGAAACCTTCACCCTTGCACTGTAGAGGTTGTTGGTGACGTTACTGGCTCTTATTTTGGGGGTTCTCCTCACATCTCTCACAATATCATCAACTGCTGTTGTTTTCCTTGGCTGACCTGTTCTATGTCTGAGGCACAGTAGTTCTTTTCTTTTTCAGGACATGCTCAATTCTTGTGTTGACTATGCCTAATGTTTGTCCTATGGTGCTGATTGATTTTCCTACTTCTTTTGGTTGCAAAATGTCATGCTTTTCTCCCATAGACAGCTCTTCATGTTGGTTTATCCTTTTTAACAAGAAATGCAGTCTTTACAGGTGAAACCCAAGGCTAAAATCAAGAATAGTCAGAGCTATTTAATGTTTAAACAATCAATCTAAAAGGCAACACCTGGGCAACAAGAAAAACCTGTCAGTCACATGTTCCAATAATTTTTATCACTTAAAAAATGTGTGGGTTCAAATAAAAGATGGTATGTCCTAAGTTGTTTAACACATCAAATAAAAGCTGAAATTCTGAACTCGTCTCATATTCATCTTCAAATGTCTTCAGTGAACAACATAAACAAAGGAAAGAGACTTGCCACTCCAATAATTTTGGAGGGGATTGTATATGAGGATTTTACTATAGGAATGCATTGAAAATCAGAAAGAAAGGAGTTATCTCTGATCAGGAATGAATAAAGGAGGCTGATGCATTTTGCATCTCTGTTCAGGAGCAAGATTAATAGATGAATATCATGACAGCTGTGTTTATTAACTTTGAAAGATGAGGCAACCGGGGTGACATAGAAGCTACATCTAGTTATTTGAGAACACCCTCAGAGACCATCTGAGTGAATTGGCATAACCAACCTGGCCCAAGAGCCATTTAAGGTAGAGGATTACTGTGTAAAGTTATATTAGTATAGGAGAGGACAAACCTTAGGAGTATACATCTGAAGTAATCTTTAAAAGTGTTGTGACCCAAGTAAATGGTTAAAGAAATAACAAAAACAAGTGTTACAGATACATCATATATTAAACAGTAAGTACAACAGAAGAGTATTACATGACTAGTGAGTGTGTGTCAGATGACCCAGCATTCAATCTATTCAATTGTTCCCCCAAGGCCTTCTCTGCTACTAATCTTATAGTAGGTGGAAGACTCCACCATAGACTCTTTATAGGGAGGACACCACAACAAAAAACAACTGGAAACCCAATCCTAAACGGGAAACAAGGTATATATCTCTATTTGGATTCATAAGACAAGAGAAGAGTGTGAACCAAACAATAGGCAAATCTGTGCTGTGCCTACTATACTCTTATCAGACTTCATATATTTGTACCCCAGCATCATTTTGTTGTTGTGCTGTTCTAACACTCAATAATGATGAGGCTGCTATAAATGTTTGGTAAATAAGGTGTGGTATTGTGCCATTGAGAAAGCAAAGAGTAAAATAATTTTCTTTTTATATGAGCTTAGGTAAATACTTTCTATTTTCTACTTATTTGTTAGTAGATAAAGGAAGTCTAAGATCGATGTGTAAGTGGAGACGCTATTTATACAAAATCATTTTGAGCACAGTGGCTTATGCTTTGTTGTTTTGGAGCATTGTTCTTCTCCTTGGATTCCTCACCTATCTTAAAGTGTAAGTTATTTGAGACAAATTACATCAGTGTTAAGCTAAATACTTAGTAATACAACCCCAACCTTGTCTGTGTGTGTGTGTGTGTGCGTGTCCGAATGTGTTTATATAATACCCTAATGAGCTCATATTCAACATGAAACAGAAGACTCATCAAATATTTCAAAATAAAAGAATAAAGTAATCAAGCCAAACTCTCTCACATTCTCTCTGTCTGTCTCTCCTTTCATCTCTGTATCTCGCTCCCCCTCTCTCACACACATTCTCTCTCCCTTTCTCTGACTGCCTTTCTCTTTCTTTCTTCGTTTGTCTCTCTCTTTCCATCTCTGTGTAATTCTCCCTCTCATACTTTCTCTCTCTCCTTCTCTTGATCTGACATTCTTTTTTGTTTGACTCTCTCTCTCTCAACTGCCTGTCTGCCACACTCACCATCTGTCTTTTCTTCCCTACATTAAATTTGGTAATGATTATAAAAAATGGACCCTTAAAAATACAATAAAATACCTTAATTATTTCATATTCAACGCCAGACAAAAAAGCTCATAGAATATTTCAAAATAGAAAAGCAGACTTTCGTGATAAATCTAACAAATCAAAATATATTGTTCTACCCACCAACTCCATCACAACTGCAATTGAAAAGAATTAATCTAAGTTTCACATAAAATTTGTTACAACTACTTCTAAATTATTTAATACTTAATACAAAATGAAATAAGCTAAAACTTGAAGGAGGAATTTACTCAATCACTTGTAATAATTGCCACAAGTAATACAGAAGGGAAACCTCAAGGAATTTAAATAAAGATTATATGAACATAAAAGGGATCTTTAAAAAAAAAAACTCACTAAATTAGTTGCTCACTCCAATGAGCCTGACCATAATTTTGATTTTAAGAAATGCTACTTTAATTAAAAGAGAAAGCAATTTGCAAAGGTGAAAATGTATAGAAAGTTCATTGATTGCTAAATCATCCATAGTAAATTTGTTGTCCAGGTCCTTAATACATTTGCTTTCTTTAGTAGATGTATTGTTATCACAATGTGGGATACTTAATAACAAAAATGATTAAAACAAACAGAAGCATAGGAAAGCTGATTAAGACGAGATAGACTGTATGTTCAGACACATCAGAGAAAGAAAAAATTTTAATTTAAAATTTCAGCATTCCCAAATCTTCAGCATTCCCTTACAGTACATAAATGCTCATGTTTTTATATCTCCCCTTCCTACACATATACAATTCTATCAATAAAAACATTACTTTAGTCCAGCGCTTCTCATCTGGTGCACACGGGCACACTGAAAGGTTGCCAGTTAAGAGAAGAGTCATTTATTAATTATTTTTATATTTAAAAAAAACTTTATTTTTAAAAAGCTAGAGACACCAAGCACATGGTTTCCATGTTTAAGTAAAGTCCTTGTCATTTGAAATTTTAAACTGGATGCTAAATTTTCTTGTGCTTCTCTCATCTGCAGGGTCAGAAAAAGTTTAAAGTGTTTCAACTTTTCCTATCTGGAATCTATCTATGTAAATCATGCTGTCAACACGTTGACCAAAAGAGAAAAGAAGGGTAAATTCTGGTTAATCTTTGTTACCACTAAGCCTACCTATCTCTTTGGGCTTACTGTCTTTACATTTCTGCATGTACTGGGCTCTTTATTTTAGAATGCTTCTAAAATATAAGCAATGGTATAGTTTGTGAAATTAATTTAGGTAGGGGTTCATAAAATTATATATATATATATATATATATATATATATATATATATATATATATATATATATAGATATGTATGTATATATGTATGTAACACCTACTATGGAAAAAAGTTTGTATTTGAAAATTGACCACATGACAAGAAAAAAAGGAAACACATAGAGAAACAAAAAAAACAGTCTTGTCCAGGCCTTAGGGCCGGGCGGACATGTTTGCGAAAAATACAAGTGTTTTGTCCAGGTCTAAGGGCTGAACAGACATGTTTGCAAAAATACGAGAAAGAGAATTCATCTTCGAATGGAACAGATGAACCCGTTTGCTATGAATGCAAATATTTTTGAATGGAATAGATGGACCCATTTGTTATGAAAGCAAAAGTTTTGGTTGACTATACAGAAAAAGAAAAGTCCCTCTTCGAATCACGAATGGACGACCGAACACAAGCACGTGGAATGCGAAAGAAACATTGAATTTTGGGAAATAAACTATGGCTTATGCCACTACATCAAGATGAAAGAGAGATATGACAGCTTCGATTTACCCGTCACCCAAGTCCCAAGACCAGTCACTAATGGGAAAAGGAAAGAAAGGAAGAAAAGATCTCAAAGGAGAATGCTGCCACACTGAAATGAAGGAGAGAGAGAAAGATAGCTATTTTAACTTAATCGTCACCCAAGCCCCTAAACAAGGGACGAAAGGGAAAAGAAAGAAAGTAAGACCGCAAACGAGAATGCTGCTACACCAAAATGAAAGATGGAAAGCAGTTTCAACTTAATCGTCGACCAAGCCCCTAGACAGGACAAAAAGAGAAAGAGAGGAAGTAAGAAAAGACCTCAAAATGAGACACTTATAAAAAGAAATAGAAAAGGAAAAAGAGAAAAGAAAAGAAGAAGTAGATATAAGAGACATTAGTGGAAAAGAACTTTTATTATGAGAAGTTCGTTGTTTTTCTTGTGCTTCGTTTTTGTTTAAATGTACTTCTTTTTCATGTTTGTACTTTCATGCAAGTCTGGCATGAGATCCTTTTATTATAGGTTTCTTTCTACATCTTAAAATTTTGATGTTTTGTAAATTCGTGCAAGTATGGCACAAAGCCATACGTTGATTTGTGTTTTACCTTCCTAAGAGGATGTTCCCCTCCCACTATTATGTCCACAATGTTTAAATGTTTATTCTTGACACATTGTCATCTTTGTTTTGGCCGGGTTTTTTTTTTTTATCTTTCCCATGTTTTTACGTTTGTTAATAAATTTATATTTTCTGTCTCCATTGTTGTTTGTCACCTATCGTGTTTGTTCCTTAATCGATTCCGCTCAGCCGTGTCTGATCAATTGGAAAGAGACCCTCGGGATAGAAATATATTTTACAAAAATTGAGTAAAAGTAAAAGTTAAAAAAAAAAATAACAGATTACGATCCTCCTTTACCTCCACTATCGATAGGGTTGGAGGAAGGGGGAGGGTCGTAAGAATATAAATATATATATATATATATATATATATATATATATATCTCACACACAGTGGGCAATGGATAAATTGTCACCTAAATTACATAAAAAAAAAATGAAAATAACACTGACATCTTATTTTAACATAACTACTTACCAAAATTATACAAAATATTTTGAAATACTCAAGTAAATTTACTGAATAAAATCATCATTGGCTTCATATATATATATATATATATATATATATATGAGAGAGAGGGTCAGACAGAGTGTGTGTGTAGATATGAAATCAACCCTGCGAAGTGTGTTGATTTCTATGTTAATAGCAATAGGGAGGGTGTGGTTGAGATCAACAATCATAAATGTGTCTCAGAAGTAACAAGTAAAAAAATCAGGGGTGGAGTCAAAAATTTGCATCCAAAATTCACAACCTTCTTTAGTCATGAAAACCAAAGACACTTGGTCATCTAAAGTAGTTTTTCACTGGGATAAGAAAGATTACAATTGGTTTAAACTTGTAGGAAAGTGCAAACAATTACCATATTTCAAGGCCTACTAAAATCAATCTGATCATTTTTTTTTTTCTAATTTTCTTTTTCAACAAATAAAAATTCATTTTCTGACAACAAGACTGGTTTCACTTTTGTCACCATTCTATAAATACTATTTCTCTGATATTGAGAACTTTGACCAAATAATACAATTATCCAAATATAAACATAGACAGTGTGGAAATAGAAATCAACACTGTTCTGAGGGTTGGAATTGTGAAACGGACACTCACCACATAGTGTTGATTTCTATGTCTGAACTGTTTAGATATACAAATGCTCTCTCTTTGATACTGCACCCAAATATCACAAATTTTAAATAATATGTAAAGTTTAGTTAAAGACCAACAAACATTTCAAACAGTTTCTTAGTCTCCAGAGAACATTTGAATATAAATGCCGAGTACTTTCAATTTTTCATAGATTTTTTTAGTAATATTATGACCATGTAACATAGCTTCTCTGTATCATTTCTATAAATAATTTCATGGCAATTGTTCTGATGAACTTTCCTAAATGTTATAAATTTAAGAAGAGTACAAGATTAGATGTGCATTATGGTGTAATCAATTTCTGGTAATGAGAAAACGGAGATCTGAGTTCAAATTCCAGTCAAGTTTGTAACATTCACTTACAAATACTCTTGAGAAAGGTATGAATCCATTTTTTTTCTTGAATAGCAGAACAGGCTGGGTTCTTTAGTATTGGTTAGCAATCAGTCTACTGCAGAAAGAAATGGCTGCCTACTGCAGGAAAAATCTTCTGCCTAGTCAGTCATGTATCAAAAGGCACATGATCACCCAAACATGTATCACATATGGCACTTAACTGTCTCATCATTTTACAGTTGAAATGGCTAGATCTAACTGTAAGTTCTATGCTAACAGTTTCTTCTATCACAATTCTCACTTGTGGAACCATCTTCTGACTTCTTGCTTCCCAGTCAACATTGATCTTCAAAAATTTATATACAATGTCAATTGTTATCTTCTATCTTAATTCTTATTCTTTAAGTGTCCACTCTTGTTAATAGTAGTTTTTCTCATATTCTGTAACACTCAGTAACCCCATGAATATTAGTAGCTTTATTGCCTTGCTTGGGGTGAAATGATTAAAAAAAAAAATATGAATGTACGTATTGTTTTTATTTTTTTTTATGTCAGTTTTTTCATTTCCAAATAGTCATTTTTTAAAATAATTGTCTTCCCTTGACAATTTATCATGTCAGTTTTTTTTTGTTTTTTTGTTTTTTAAATAGAATATACATGGCCAAAAGGTTTGTTCAGTTTATAAGTAAAATTTATTATTAATAACGTGAGCAAACTTTTTGGTTATTGTAATACTTAGTACTGCATATACTCATGTATAAGCCAACTTTTAATCCCTCCCGAAAATATTTATCTATGTATAGTGTAACTGGTCAATGAAAATGCATGATTCTTACCATCTTCAAAAATTACTTGTATATAATGCGATCCCCTATTTTTTGTGTAAGAAATTGATAAGAATGTGATCATAAATACAGTATGTTTGTTTCTAAATTTGACATTTTATTCATGTCTAGCTGCTTGATGTTTATTGTTAATGCTTCTAGAATTTGTAATCATTTTCTGTAGTTTATGTGATAGAGTATTTTCATGTTATTGATAGAGATTTGACATTTTTTGTGCATGCAATTTAACTGAATTATTATCAGATAAATGGCAAATTAATCACTGCAGTTGTGTAACCAATGTCAGTGTTGTTTGAATTATTATTATTATTAGAAAAACATTAGTGGCCAAGTGAATTAACAAACACCATTATCATATAATCTTATAATTCAGAGATTATAAAGATAAAAATAATGAAAATGTTGAGTGTGTAACATCTTGGCATGTACAAACTTAAAAAGTCTAAGGCAAAAGTGTGTTTACAGGTAAGTCACCCAAATATTCACCTTTAATACAATCTTATATATTTAATCCAAATAAACTCTTACTACAATATTTATGTAACCCAAATACATTCCTTTAATACAATATTTATGTAACCCAAATACGTTCCTTTAATACAATATTTATGTAACCCAAATACGTTCCTTTAATACAATATTTATGTAACCCAAATACGTTCCTTTAATACAATATTTATGTAACCCAAATACATTCCTTTAATACAATATTTATGTAACCCAAATACGTTCCTTTAATACAATATTTATGTAACCCAAATACATTCCTTTAATACAATATTTATGTAACCCAAATACATTCCTTTAATACAATATTTATATAACCCAAATACATTCCTTTAATATTTATATAACCCAAATACATTCCTTTAATATTTATATAACCCAAATACATTCCTTTAATACAATATTTTTATAACCCAAATACATTCCTTTAATACAATATTTATATAACTCAAATACATTCCTTTAATACAATATTTATATAACTCAAATACATTCCTTTAATACAAGTGTGTGTATATATATATATACACATATACATAATCCAAGTATATTCTTTTAATACAATATATAGATTCAAATACAACTTTTATAGAATTCAAATACATTCCTTTAATACAAACTTTTATATATATATATATATATATATATATATATATATATATATATATAATAAATTCAAACTACCAATGTAACCCAAAACTGAATTAGTGAAGTCTGTTTATAAATTTTGATAAATATTATCATTTTTTCAAGCAAGTTAATTTTGAAACCATATCAAATCAAACTTGATTCTTTTGGCATCTTCAATGACTAGCTTGTTGACAATAGGTTAAATGTCTTCACGTGATTTTATCAGGGTTCATGCCAAATTGAAAGATTGAAATGAACAACTTACCTTTCTGCATTTAAGTAATTGATTGTTTTGTCAAAGTATATTTTAATACCCGAGATTTTTAGTTATATATAATAAGTCTGTTAAATATAAGAAAGGGGACTCCTGTAACAAAAAAATTGTAAACTGCTGATATAACCCAAAACCCAAGTAGAGAGTTGGAAGATGTTTATGAATTTGAATGAATGTCATATTTGCCCTAAGCAAGAGAAATTCATTTTGGAGCTTGAAACAATTTTTTTTAAGCATTTCCAATGACCTGTTTCTTTATTATAAAGCAAGAGGCTCCTTTAAGAACTTTGAAATATGAGATGAATAGCCTGATTTTCAACTTTACTCCAAGAGGCCATAGCCCAACATATCAGACCCTTTTGGTATCTGGCCAACTCCATTAGCAAATTAAAAACATTCCAAGCCAGATCCGGACCTGAAATTTTAGATTCCCAACTTTTCATTACTGCAATTGTTTTCAGATTCTGCCATATTAGCTTCTACTGATGAAAACAATTAAAGGGATATAACTCTCTAACTTTCAATAGCTCATGTTCAAATGAAAAAATTACTCTTCTCAAATTACAGTGTTTCAAAATAAAATTGTCCCTGTTTTCAACTTTACTCCAAGATATCATACCAATTTGGAATCAGGCCATCTCTGTGAGCAAATTAATAACATCCTGGGGTGGATTTTTTTTTTTGCAGTAAATTTTTTGTATAATAACAATTTTTATAACTTGGAAATAAATATGGGAATAACCAAAATTAATTGTGAAATCCAGTAACAGTCACCCATGAAATAAAAATAATGGTTTGTATAAGAAATAAGTACCTACATACATCAAATTATCTTCAAGTGGTGGCAGCAGAATTATCGTTGGACTTTTAAAAGGTAAGTTTAAATATTAATGAAACACTTAAATGAAGTAATCAATTTTGAGTTCTTCTGTAGTTTATTGTTGCCTATTGCATCTACTTCTATCTACCTATTGTGATGAAAGCCCACAAGAAAATTAATAGACGATGTGATATATAAAGGGTGTTTCAATAATTTGGACTGATTTTAATGTGAATTAAGTTCCAGCATCTAATGATTTTTTTCTTTTTCTTTCAGATTTGGCAGACATTTGGGTGATATTATTTTTTGCACATAATTGCTATAACTTAAATAACAGGATCCAATAGAGAAACAAATTTTCACCAATAACACACATATATATATATATATATATATATATATATATATATATATATATATATATAACTTTTTTTTCATATATATATATATATATATATATATATATATACACACACACACAAATTTATAAATGCACTCTCATTATTAATTTCTTTCATTTTAATTTCAGTTACTTTTTTTTAACTAGTCAGACATTGTCATTTGTAAACTATGCACATTGAAAATCAGAAATATGCTCCAAGCAAGACTTAAATATTTGACGCAGTATAAATTTCTATAACATAATCAATGTTTCCCAATAAAGGGAATTATGATTCAACTGAATTCTAGTCATGAATAATTTTTCAAAACAGACACAAGGGAAATAAATCAGGAATATATTTTTTTCTCAAGAGGTTACTTTAGATTAAAAGCATCAAATCAGACACTTTCTAAAAGCAAATAATAATAGAAAAATCAACTCTCATACATGATTTTAATCCAATTAAGAATTCAAAATAAATTTTGAAATATGATATTTTAATCAAAAGAAAAAAATTAAAAATAAAAGAATTTTAGAAGCATAGAAAAGCACAATAAAAGGACTTCAATAGAAATATGATACAAAGTATTTCCCCCCCCACATGCCATGATACTTGTTTCCAACGTTAGTAATCTGATTTTGTTAACCCTTTTAATGCTATAGTGTTCTTCAACTAAAATACCATAAGCTTTCATAAAGCTTCAATTATTTTTTTTTCTTTTTGGTTTTCATAAAAAGAAAATTTTGTTGACAAAGGATTAAGCCATGCTCTCCTTTATTTGACAAGTTATGATTTCCATTCCAGTTTTAAAGAAACAGCAAAAAAGAAAAAAGAGGAACAATTTAATCTCAGATAGAAAAAGAAGCATGTTCTTTCTCTAGTATTTCTTTTCTAAGATGAGTAATGTCAATATTCTTTCAAACTACTTTTCTCATCTGGGTTGATGTAGATGTTATTATAGAGAAAGCTTTGACTAAATACCCTTTGGTCATCATCAGGTGTCCACTGATTAGCTCATATGGGACTTATGCTGATTATTGTAACATTTTATCCATGTGATATCAGTTACTATTCATCACGGCTGAGTTGTGTCACTACCAGACTCAAAGATTGAACTCACAGCCACTCAATCACATATGTATAACCAACTCCTATATCCACTACACAACTGCCCCAAAGTGGTCATCTCATGGTCATCAGTTCAATCCTTGGATCTGGTAATGATGCCCCAATTCAACAGAAATGAACAATAACTGATCACAGGGATAAAATATCAAAATAATCAACAAATATCCTATTTCAGCTAATCAATGAATGATGACAAGAGGCTACTTGATCAATTCATTGATTGATTGTCTGTTTAAAGGAATATCAACTCCTTATGGGTTATTTAATGCCAAAATTTAATTTTCTTGGGAGCTTTGAAGTAGTTAAAATGATATATTATTCCACTTTCACAACTGAATACATGGTAGATGATGCTCAGCTTTTGTGCATATAAATGTTTGTATGGACATAATTACTAGAGGTGGTGTTGCATGTTTTATGTTATAGTTTTCTTGAAGTTATATTTTAGAATACACTTTGATTTAAGAAACTGTACAATATTATATGGATTAATGTCATGAAAGTTCTTTCATGTTAATTGTTTGGTAGCATTTTAAACAGATTTGGGTGAAGTTGCTACAATTTGTTAGTATGTGCATATTGGTAATTTATATAAAAATGTATTGCTGGTATTTTTATACTTTCATAATGTTTAGTTTTTGTTTGGGGAGGGCACTATTTGCCCCTAACTTGGACCCAAACAGGTGCTACCACCCCAGGTCAGGGAACAACAGCAATTAAGACGTGCTTCTACATTCTTCAAAGCCTCCAATCTCTGGATCAGGCCTTTCTGCCAGATTTGGTTTATCATCATACCCAGGACTAGTTCTTGGTTGAAACATTGTGTCTATAATAAGATCTATGTCAACCAAAATGAGAAGAGCAGTGTGACATAATCTACTATCTATATTTCTCATGTTGTCTGTCTGTGTGTCTGTCATGGGCGTTGTTACCTCGCCCAGGCTGCATTTCTCACTCGATTTCGATGCGGTTTTCAACACAAATGGCTGCCGTAAGGACATGACGGAGCCCGATTTTTGAGGTCGGAATCAGGTTCCGAAAAATCGATAATCGAAAAAAAAATCCATAATCAAAAAAATTCTGCCTACAGAAGGAATGATCGCATTTCAACCAAATTTGACACCCTCTTAGAGTCTACCATTAGAAGTGTCGTCCAGAATTTTCATGACCACGGACCCCTAAACAGCGTGGAAAATCAATAAAACCCAAAAACCGATACGCCCAGATTGCGTCTGAACTGCATGTCGGTTTTTAGTGAAAACTGAGCAGATTTATGAAGAGGCCATTGGGAGTCATCATGTGAAGTTTCAACTCTGAGCACCCCCCAAACAGAGTGCAAATCGACAATTGGTCAACCCTTAAAAATGTTTCTTCCGGTTTTTTTAAAGCTGATCGTATTGTGTTTATTTTGTTTAGTTCTTTTTTCATAACAGATTTAATCTTTAGTATAGAGTTTAGAAAAAGTTGGCAGTGTGATATAGGCAAGAAGTAAGGCATGTAACAACATCAACATGGCAAAGGGCACTCCTCTAAAGGCAAGGAAGGGCAAAAATATTTTAAGTCAAGTGATAGTGATTGCTGTATTAGTCGTACTATTTTTTAATCAAGCACGGGCAACGCCGAGCCATGCTGTTAGTACAAGAATATAATCTTAGTCACTGGGAGAAATGCCAACATGGCACATTATGTAAGACAACATTATGATTTTTTTCTCTTTTTATTTGAGGTTCATTTGTTTTTTTAATCTATTCTCCCTGAGGAAATTGGTAGTGGCAAATATTTTGAAATTATTCAAGCAACTGACTTATGTCATGTCCCTTCATGCTGGCAAACATGGCTCTCCACAATTTCCCATCATTTGTAGCTCTTAATAAATTTTGTTGTTTTGTTATCTCTCCTAAATCATTTTTCCATCATCCATTTACTGAAGCTTGTAAGGTAGGTTATGCATTGTTTTCCTCTGTTCCTCTTGCCTTCAATCTGTCCTGAGATTATCAAATTTTCCAAAACCACTTTATTTATCTGCCCAAGAAATTCCAACTGTCTATTGTGATGTTAAGTGTAAGTGTACTTTTTGTCTAAAATTTGGTATTCTCAGCATTCTTCTGTAGAACTATATTTTGGTTGCCTCAAATCTCTTCTTTCTCTTTCAGGAGATTGTCCGGCATTCACTGCCATATAGAACTGATATTATATAACAATTCAGTACTCTGTTTCTAATAAATTTTTTGTTTTTTAATACTTTGCTTAGATTTTGGAAGGTAGTTTTTGTTATCCTCATCAGATTTCTGTGTCACACTTTCCTCTGTTAAAACCCTTTCCAGATATTTAAACCCAAAATGATGACAGGTTTTGGTAGTAATCATCACAGGAATAGCTATAGTTTTAATAAAATTAAAAGAAAGAGAAATAACAATAAAAATAGAACACGAGATGAAGAGAGAAAAAGTTTATCTTGACTTGGTGTCTCAGCTTCAGTCATCTTCCCACTGCCATAACATAACTTCCCTGTGCCTTTTCATGAGAATTCTTCTGATGAACTTTCCTCTATAGTACCTGGACTTTATGAATTGAAGTACAGTACTAGATTGGAGGCAAGATTCACAGTTGTATTGGCTAGATAACAATTTCTTTTCTCACTTGTGGAACTCTCTTCCAGCTACAAGTTTGACCTTCAAAACTTTAAATACAATGTCAATTGTTATCTACTGTCTTCTTCATTACTCTTCAACTGTTCTCACTCCTTAATAATCACACTCAGTAACCCCCTTGTGTCTTAGTGGTTTTACTGCTTTGCATGGGGCAATATGATTGAAAAAAAGGAAAAAACTAAAATAACAATACTGATTAGAGATTTCAACATTGAAACTTACCATCCAAACTAAGTGAAAAGTTTTGGCATGATACCCATAAGGAAAATAAGAACCTGCTGGACCAGGAAAAATCAGTGCTTAGGAGAAATTGGAAAAATACCAGTATCTTAGTTGGCAGATGAATAATGTATGGAATATAATGGTTAGAATCATGCCCAGAATAGCAGGTGCAGTTGGGACCATGGTAAAAGCATGGGAACCTATTCAAACTGAAGTATTGCCAAAAAGGCAAATGAAATTGATAAATATAAATAGTCTGAAGTAGAAAAAAAGGGCACAGAGAGATCAAGGCAGGCAGGAATAAAGAGACCAAAGGCAGGCGGGAATAAAGAGACCAAAGGCAGGCGGGCACAAACAGACCAAAGGCAGGCGGGCACAAAGTGACCAAAGGCAGGCGGGCACAAAGTGACCAAAGGCAGGCGGGCACAAAGTGACCAAAGGCAGGCGGGGCACAAAGTGACCAAAGGCAGGCGGGCAAAAGAGACCAAAGGCAGGCGGGCATAAAGAGACCAAAGGCAGGCGGGCACAAAGAGACCAAAGGCAGACAGGCACAAAGAGACCAAGGCAGACAGGCACAAAAGAACAAAAAAGGTAGGCACAGAAGGAACAAGGCAGGTGGGCACAGAGGAACAAGGCAGGGGGGGCACAGAGGGAACAAGGCAGGGGGGCACAGAGGGAACAAGGCAGGGGGCTGGGGGAACAAAGCAGGGGGGCACAGAGGGAACAAAGCAGGGGGCACGGAGGAACAAAGCAGGGGGGCACAGAGGAACAAAGCAGGGGGGCACAGAGGAACAAAGCAGGGGGGCACAGAGAAACAAATCTAAAAATAAATGTTAATCAGGTTTATGTATATGTTTACAGGCAAACATTAGTTGTTTATACTTCAAGAGTGGGTGTCTTAATCTCCTGCAGGAGATGATGTTGCTCTGGGCCTCAGTCACAGTGAAAACAACATTAGAACAACCAGAATAATAATACTGAGAATGATAAAGATTTTAGAAGAATGTAGTAGTAGTAATAGGAAGAAAATCATGATTAGAAAAGAATGTGTTTTACATTGCTTCAGACAAAGATTGAAGAAATAGTATTTTTGCTCTGATTAAATATTAATGTTTCATATCATCTTCAGAGTGATTCATGGCTCTGACTTTTCTGGTTTAATTGCTGGAGAAATGAGAAAAAAAAAAGAATAAGTCAGTAAACAAATCAATGAAAGAATATGAAAGAATGAAAGAATTAGCAAGAGAAAGCTAAGAACAACAAAGTTAAACAATTATGACGTATAATGGAGGAATGAAATGATAAAAGAAAAATAGAAGAAAATGAAGGAAAGCTGAAGAATGAGAGAGAGAGGGAAAGAAGCAAAGAGAGAGGGAAAGATGCAAAGAGAGAGGGAAAGATGCAAGAGCAAAGAGAGGAAAGATGCAAGAGGAAAGATGCAAAGAGAGAGGGAAAGATGCAAAGAGGAGAGAGAGAGAGAGGGAAAGATGCAAAGAGAGAGAGAGAGAGAGGGAAAGATGCAAAGAGAAGAGAGAGAGAGGGAAAGATGCAAAGAGAAGAGAGAGAGAGGGAAAGGGGAAAAGAGGAGAGGAGAGAAAGAAAGAAGAGAAGAAGAAAGAGGGCAAGAGGAGAGACAGAAGAAAGAAGAAAAGAGAGACAGAAGCAAAGAAGCAAAGAGGAGAGACAGAAGCAAAGAAGCAAAGAGGAGAGACAGAAGGAAAGAAGCAAAGAGGAGAGACAGAAGGAAAGAAGCAAAGAGGAGAGACAGAAGGAAAGAAGCAAAGAGGAGAGACAGAAGGAAAGAAGCAGAGAGGAGAGACAGAAGGAAAGAAGCAGAGAGGAGAGACAGAAGGAAAGAAGCAGAGAGGAGAGACAGAAGGAAAGAAGCAAAGAAAATAGAGAGAGGGAAAGAAGCAAAGAAAATAGAGAGAGGGAAAGAAGCAAAGAAATAGAGAGAGGGAAAAGAAGCAAAGAAAATAGAGAGAGAAAAAGAAGAAAGAAAATAGAGAGAGGGAAAGAAGCAAAGAAAATAGAGAGAGGGAAAGAAGCAAAGAAAATAGAGAGAGGGAAAGAAGCAAAGAAAATAGAGAGAGGGAAAGAAGCAAAGAAAATAGAGAGAGGGAAAGAAGCAAAGAAAATAGAGAGAGGGAAAGAAGCAAAGAAAATAGAGAGAGGGAAAGAAGCAAAAGAAAATAGAGAGAGGGAAAGGCAAATAGAGAGAGGAAAAGAAGCAAATAGAGAGAGGGAAAGAAGCAAATAGAGAGAGGGAAAGAAGCAAAGAGAAAAATGAGAAAGAAACAATGAGATAGAGAGGAATTAGAGCAATATAGAGAAAGAGAGAGTAAGGTGAATAGCAAAGCAGAGAAAGAAATAAGAAAGGGGAGAGTAAACCAGGGAAAGAGAGTGAACAAAGGTGAGAACAATGCAGAGTAAGAGAACGAGGGTGAGAATAATGCAGGGAAAGAGAAGGGAAAGGGAAGCAAAGCAGTAAAGTGAGAGGAAAGGGGGATCAAAGCAGTGAGAGAATTAGTGCAAAAATGAGAAAGAGAAGAAAATGGAGAGAAAATCAAAGAAAGAGAAGAAAGCAACAAATGAAAGAAGGAGTGTCAGAGAAAGAGAGAGATGGGGAGAAAAAGACAAAGCAAAGAAAAACAGTATGGCAAGATGAGGCCAATTATGAAGATGTCAAAAGTAAACAAAAATGAACATACAAGTAAATGAGACAACACCAGAATGAAGGAGTTAATGAACAAAAGAAAGAAAGGTGTGAAGAAACAAATACTCAAGAGAGTGAAAGAGCAAAAGAATGCATAAATGAAAGAAGTAGAAAATAAAGTAAAATCTTTAAGAATGAAAACATGAATGAGTAAGAGAAGACAAAGAAAAATATTAAGAAATGAAGAAAATCTTGCTTTTTGAGGGAAAGAATGATGGAATGAAAGAGTCGAGAAAATGGACTGTAGTGTGGAGTGGGTAACCAAACAGATGGAAGGGTAAGATGACTTTGGAGACTGCTGGAATGAACGATCAAGGAACATTCAAAGAATAACTAAAATTCCAGACATACTTACTCATTATTACTTTGAAAGCATCGAAAGAAACCGATATTTATTGATTCAAGAACTAAGAGTCATGTCATCAGTAATTCCTGACAGCCAAATGAAAAACATTTTTATGCACCCCCCCCACTTCAAGCTATTTCTCAAACAGAATGCTGTCAACAAAGAGAAACTGTTGCAAAAAATGTTGAAGGGTTTTGTGCAAATTTGATAAAAATACATTTAAGGAATTTTTGGTATTCCACTTGGTCTAAAGATAAAAAAAAAATCGTGGTGACTTACAAAAAGTAGAGCAGTGACTCACTTATGTGACAGTTTTAATGTTAGGAAGATACATTTGCAGTTATGGTCGAGCATCAATACTGACAACACCTGATTCAGCAGTCCCTGAGAAGGGTAATAAATTTAAAGAAAATTTCATTATATATATATATATATATATATAAATAAAAGGTAGCAGAGTATACCATGTTTTATGCATTACAAAGCAATGCTTATATAAGAAAAAAATGTATTTTTAAGATCACCACAAAGCCTGCCAAGTGTCCAATGAAAATAAAAATAGAAAAGTAAACATAAAATGAAAAGAAAGAAAAGTAAATGAAAGACAGAGACTGACCTAAACAGCAAAAGTGCTCTATGTCTAAAATCAGCAAAACAGAACAAATACACGACAGAGTTCAGACTACTATTTGAGTTTCACACTACAATACTTGAATATGTTGACCGTGTTGAACTATTCATACTTTCAGGTTCTGTCCCAGAAACTGTAATAAAGATCTGCTCAGTATAGTTGCAGTATAAACCATGATTGTCAGGTGAGCAAATAACCACACACACACACACATATATATATATATATACACACACACACACACACACACACACAGAGAAACTTATCTATGGACATCCCAACAACAGACTTTGTATGAAATAGACAAAAACTTAAATCATCAGTGATTATTTCAAAATTCGTATTAGTTCTCAAAGTGACTGCTTGGTGGTGGTGGTGGTGGGCCTTTCAATTGTAAACAAAGACTGGTGTACAGTATATCAAGTACGATACATTAGCGTGTACGTGAGAAAGTAGCTGTGAGAAATTTATTATTTTTGCTATTTTGATTAATATATTAATTGCTCTGTCCTCATCCTGGCATCAAAGCAGAAGGAAAGTGTAAAAAGGAAGCGTACAAACCTAAGTATCAGTGACAAAGAGTTTCTTAAAAAGTTAGAGGCTGGATTTTTGGTCACAAAAGTGTTCGAAGAGTACAGTGTAAAGAAACAGTGATATATGCAAAGCTAAGGAAAAAACAGAAGTTATGCAGTGAAATTTGATGCTGATCAAGGAATTTTTGGTATTCCACTTGGAATATGTTGACCTTGTTGAACTATTCATAATTTCAGATTCTGAGATGGGAAAGGTGTTCTTCATAATCATAAGCATATGAAAATTCCTAAAAGCAAGGAACTGGAAGAAGTGGTGTACAAGTGGTACATTCAACACTGATCAGTGCATGTGAACGTTTGCGGGACAAAGATTGCTGATGCCACTAACAAATTAGTACACAATTTGGGAATTCATTCATTTAAAGCTAGTGATGGTTGGCTATGAAGATTTTGTAATCGTCATGGAATTTGAAACAAAGTGCAACATGAAAAAGCTGTTAGTGCAGATATTAGTGGTGATGAAACGTTCAGACTTAAATAAAATGAATTAATTAAGAAAGAAGACCTACAACTGTTACAGATTTAGAATGCAGATGAAACTGCTTTGTTTTGATGTTCTCTACCAAGAAATATCCAGGCATTTATGCATGAAGACAAAGTTCCAAGCAAAAAATAAGCAAGGACAAATTTTTTGCTTTATTGAGGGCAAACGCAACAGGAATCCACTGCCTCAAGCCTGTAGTAGTAGTAGGGAAGTCAGCTAAGCCATTTTGTCTCAAGGACTGCATGAACGATTTACTGGTTGTGTATTACAAAAACAAAAAACAAAAAAAAACTCTTGGTTAAATAGTGCCATTTTTAATTGTTTTTTTAAACATTTCATTCCTGAAGTGCAAAATTTTCAAGAGAAATTATTGCATATTGCTCCTGAAGATGTTATGGCCATTCTCCTAATTAAAAAAGCACCAGCGCAGAAAAACTAGTAAGCACTGATGGTAGAATCTGTGCAATTTTCCTTCTGCCTAACACCACATCATTAACCCGGCTGATGTATCAAGGAGTGATTGTATCATGTAAATGACATTATCAGCGTAAATATCTAGATGAAGTCTTGGTGATCATCGAGGAAGAGATGTAAGGACAACAAACAGTAAGCAATATTAAAAACTAATCTGAAATCTGGCATCTACAATTTTGAATCAGCTTGGAAAGATGTGAAATTAAGAGAATTAATAATTTGTGAACATTATAAGTGTGGAAAATAATTAGTTAGATTCATTTTTTAAGTCCAAACCCATTCCAACCATCTCTCTAACACCTGGGAAGAGTACCCCAAGCACCAGCACTGAACAAATACCTGTAATAGCCACCAACATTGCTTTAAAGGAACTTCATAGCTTCTCTGACTCAGAATAAGAAACCAATTTGAGTCCCCACTATATGATCTCTGCAGAAAAAAAACTCCATTTTCCACTATATACACAAGGTAAATAAACTTTTGTGGTTGTACATTTTAACATTTATAATAAATATGTTATTGTAGTTTTTAACTGTATATATTAATATTACTCCCTTTGAGAGAGAGTGCTGTCAATGCTATTCTTCGTAAGTGTGTAATACTGTATTTTATATATATATATATATATATATATATATATATATATATATATATATATATACCTGATGGTGGCAGTGAGTTAGACAAACCTACCTAGGTTTTTTCACCTAAATGGATCTTCTCGTTTGGCAAACTTTCCTGACGATCCGCTTAAATGAAACCGGTAGGTTTGTCTGGCTCACTAGGTGTATCTAGGTCTGCTCTACGGTTGTATTGAGCTCTTTTTAGTTAGTTAGTTGTTTACTCGTATCGGGGTTTTTCTTTGGGCTTCAGATCTGCATCTGTCAGCGATTTTTGTCGACAAGTTCATGTTTGTAGCTCTTTCTTTTTTAAAACCTTTTTTTCCCCTCGAGATTGATTTGATTAGCAAATCAAAAATTCGAGGGTTTTTCAAACGAGTTTAGTTATCTATATATTTACATGTATATATATATATATATATATATATATATATATATATATATATATATATGAAAATTTCTCAGAGTTAACCTGTAGAAAAGACAATATTTTTAAATATAAATGACAATAGGAAAACAGTAGTAGATGCTGACACATTTCCACATTGCGCATAGTTAGGCGGTATATTTTCGGTCAAACAGGTTTGGTTAAATAATTTAGACACATGTTGATTAGTTTTCTGTGTGGTCCTTTCCAAGTTCGTGGATCAGAACAAAAACTAATCAATATGTCTAAATTATTTAACCAAACATGTTCAAATATATATATTGTTATAGCTATTCTATAGTTAATAGACTCTCCCGCCTATAATAAGTAGGAGTAGTAAGAGTAACAAGTCAGTCAGTGAGTCAGTCGATGTCAGACAACAGTTATTCAAATACTAAAGTATCAGTGACCACAACTAGATTACTCTGCGTTATACCTATTATATGAAGTTCCTAACATTTTGTACGTCGAACCTATTTTAGGACCGACTTAGTACAAACACAAGCCTCCACTGTAAAATCACTCCACAACAATATATATATATATATGGTATACTGTATATATACAGTACAGTATATATTTATTATGCCATATATACATGTTTATGGTATTTACATTATACTCATAGCTACTGGTAGTTACTATAATGGTTTTATAACTCAAGAATAATCCCTCCCCATCTATAGGCAATCGGCTTTGAAAAGATTTGAATGATATAATATCTAGTCAATATCATCCCTTACATCTGGCTACCTATCTCCTCAGACTGCAATCCCTTTGATTATTATTTGTGGGGTGCAGTTGAGCAAGAGACCAAACAAAAGCCCTTGTAACACCAAAGATAAACTGAAGGCAAGTATTATGGCAGCATTCACCAAAATATTTATATACAAATGTTCTCATAAAGAAATGCCTAAATTTACTAAAACACACTTGGCAAAAACAAAATTACCTATTCCTATACATAAGAACATAAAAATGTGCCATTTAATCACTAATCAATATTCTTTCACCTTTGATAACAATTGTTTGGTTTACCAATAGGGTCCCGTTTTAGTGGTATTTTGGTATGTCTATTTTTAGAATTTGGAAGTGGTTCTTTCAAAAATAATTTACTTCAAAATTCTTCTTACTGTAGATACAGAGATGTTTCTCTATTAATATATCTACAAAACACACACAGACACACATATATATATATATATATATATATATATATATATATATATATATATATATGCACACACAAATATAGACACACATACACAAATATATATAT